TGTAACGCCCCGAAAATAGGCCTATCAGAATTAATTAATTAATAATTAATTAATTACTGAGAAGGACCCAAAAATATGTGAATTATAAAGTTGGTCAATAAATAATAAAAATTTTATCATTATGTAGAGTTTGACTGTCCGATTCCAACGGTTTAATCGGATTTCAATTCAGAGAAAGTTGGACCAAAAAGTGTTCCCCGACTGGGACCAAATTAGTCCTAATCAGGGACTTACGTTTAAAATCGGAGAAGACAGCAGCCCGCTCCACCCAGCCGCCGAAACAGTCGAAGGAGAGGTCATCACTGTGTCTTCATCCTCCTTCACTTGGCTATATAAGGACCATCTCTTCCTACCCAATTCTTCACCATTTCTTCCCAAATTGCTTCTGAGAGTTAGCTTTGAGTGTGTAGAACGCAGTGGTGCTGTCATATTGGTGTGAGGTCGCCGGAGATAGCCACAATCCTTGCCGGAAGTTTCGCCGGAAAATTTCCAAAACCTCCATTACGCTTCGAGGTAAGCCCGTAGATATATCTAATGACTAGAATGTTTGTATAGATCGTTTCTACGTTCATAAACAGTCGTTTGGTTGAGTTTTGTGTTTGACATGCTTGAAGAACCAAGAATCATAAACCATTAAATTGATGTTAAAACTATGAATTAATGATGCCAAAATGATCTTTGAACCTTGGAGAACATTTCTATATAGTTTAATCGAAGTTTGGAACCTAAAAATGGAATTCCCGAAATTGAAGTCGCGAGGTAGAAGACGATAAACAGTGGCTGAAAGCCACTGTCTGGATCGATCCAGGGGCTTGGATCGATCCCCTGGGAGTAAATTTTCATAATATGGATCGATCCAGAGGGCTGGATCGATCCCCCGAAGTTCTGATCCGAAAATTTGCCCGAAATTGCTATTTTTGAGCTCTAAAATCCTATTTTTGATACCAATTGATTATGATTATTTTAAGGATGATTCTTTACAATAAAAATGATGTTTTTAACAAATAAAAATGTTATGTGATGCATGACGGTAAGTTCAGGTGTTAACACCCGAAGCTAGACCGCTAGTTGTTATTGAATATTATGTTGATTAATGATTATGGTAATAATTATTGATTGATGATTATGATGATTAAATCTAAATAAATATTCTGATTAAAATGATAATTGTAAATGATTTAATCATAATGAATATATTGATGATTGTGAAAATAATATATTGTTAAGGGTATCTAGAAGACCTCTAAGATATACCCATATTAATGTCGATTTGAAAGGTATCTAGAAGACCTCTAAGATATACCCATTTAAGTTAGGCCTTGCGGGTATGAACCCCGGTGGCTAGGGTTAAAACGTACGTACGGGATCCAAGAACCAAACTTGAGTACCTACTCGTTTGGGGGTACCACCCACCCAACAGTGAACACTACGCTGTCGGTTTTTGGTTGGCCTTAAGTGAAGGTAAGTTTAAGATTTTCAAAAACCTTTTATCTTAAACTAGGCCTAGCTTAAGGATTATTTAGGAATATTTTATACTGGAATATAGTTTAATTATTTAAATTAGAATTCGTTTAAGGGTTGACAAATATTAAAGTGATTGGTCTTAGACTAAGAATAGTTTAAGGATATTGTTGAATGTTGAATATTGAATATTGAATATGAGTAAATATTGAATGATGAATATTGAATTGAATATTGCAATTATTATGAATGACTGATGAATATTGAATTGAATATTGCAATTATTATGAATGACTGATGAACATTGAATGTGAATATAAATGTTGAATAATGCATGATGAATAATTTTTAATAATTATTGATTATCTGAACTGAACATTATGTGCATGATATCAAATGATTTGATTATGAATTTAGATTCAGTTTATATGGATGTTCGACGCATTAGATATGCTTACTCAGCTTAAACGCTGAGCGTGTAGTATGTTTTATTTGCTACACGCAGGTAAACAAAAAGAATGAAGAAATGATTTCGTGGAGGCAGATGGGACGAGAAGATCGGACGGATGTGTGTTTTGCATTTAAATTACTGTTGAAAAGACAAAAATTAATTATGTTTGTATTATGTTTTATTAAGCTTCCGCAACATTAAACTACTCCGTTACTATTTTGAATTATTTATTATGAAATAAAGTTTTAAATATTTAAAATATTTTAAATGTTTACGAATACCAAGTTTATACTTTAGCTCGAAAAGGGCTGCAGACCTGGACGGATTAGGGTGTTACACGGGGTCTTGGGTGGCCGCCCGGCAGGTCGCCCGAGAAGGAATATTCGGATATTCCTTCGCAACTTGCTGCCAGTTGCTGATATTTTTGCTTTAAATCCCGGGGCTGGGTCCGGGGTGGTCGCCCAGCAGGTCACCCTGGAGTAGATATTAAATATCTCTGAAAACGTGCCTGCACTTGCCTTATCTTTCATTTTAATTCCGGGGCGGTCGCCCGAGAGGTCGCCCGGCCCAACCTAGGGATTTTAGCTTCAAATTTTTGTGGCAAGTTCTATATTTTATGTCGAACATTTTTCTCTGCTGGAGCTACGGACGAATTTGAGTTTAAACTTTAAAGATCTCAAAAGTTTTATTTTCTTTAAAGTTTTTACTCCGTTTGAACCAGTTTTTGTTTTAAAATTCTAAATTTGTTTAGAACACCCTTTTTATAAACAAAATGACAACTTTGAGATACTTACGAAAGAAAATGAATATTTTTATTTTAATTAAATTCATTTACACACAAAACATTTAAATATGAGTAAAATAATAAGTACAAAATGTACTTATCACACTTTCCAAGTAACATCAATCAGTGGGCCCTAAGATATTACACTTCATTTAAAGAATGGATAAATTTTATCTACGTCATTCACATCTTCACTTAAGTTTCATTGCATGCCCAAAACATAATTGTACATCCACCAATATTTCAGATGGCATAAATTATGCTTCAATGTATGCAACTCAACTTACCAAAGTTCGTAATCACTTCAAGTCGAAGGATAGTTATGCTAATGGTTGCATGAGAATAATATTAACACTTTAAGTTACACCCATATATTATTCTCATAGTGGGTCAATCCAGTAACATATCCAATATGTTTGCCTGCGTATAAATTCAGATAACATTTTATCTATAGCCTATGAGACACAGGTATCTCATCTCATATGTATTAGTCTTGATATATTATGATGTTCGTATTATCATAATATTCGACTAAGAATATTTTAGACGTAGCCTCTATCTTTGTAACAGCCTCATAATCAGAACGTCGTAGTTCTCATATATGTTACTAGAGCGCCTACTCTATGGACTAAAGCTATGTTTAAATCACACGAGACAATTTAAACAATCTTTAGAGCCTATTATTCTTGATATAATATAGATATGAAATCATAAATTGGCCTCTAAGGCTCACTTATATTCTTTTGAAACATTGACGGTTCTTATGCTTTTTAATTCTTCGATAAATCCTTCACCCCGGATTAACCCGAACACACCCTCCTTTAATTGCACTTTACAAATTTAATTGACTTTTGTATTAAGTTTTAATTTAAAAGTCAATTAAATTTTATGAGGTACAATAGGAAAAGTGTGTGGGGTTGGTTCGAGTTGGGTTGGGGTGGTAATTTACAAGGGATTAGTAGAGATAAGAATGGTTAATTTTTGTAACAAATTAATATAGTTATAGCGCGTGATATTTTTTTAGGAGTATTACTCTGCCGACAACTCATTATCTTTCACAAAATACGCTTCGCCAGCTTTCTGTATATCCTCACATCAAATTTCGATTTCGCTAAATCTGAACCAGGCCTCAACTTGTACTTTGGGAGCTCGAATCCGAAACCGAGGTTTAGGTTGTAAAGAAAATGCTTGATCGATTCGTGAGTACGAGGACGGCATGCCAAGTCCGGAGGATTCTCCGCAACGGAAAGCTTACCCTCATTTGCCTCGTTCTAACTGTCGTCGTGCTACGTGGAAATCTCGGCGCCGGTAAATTTGGAACCCCCGAGAAGGATCTCAAAGACATAGCAGATACATTAAGCTACTACAGGAGGCGGGCCGAGCCGCGCCGCGTGCTGGAAGATGCGGAGCAAGCAAATGTCACCGACGGACATAATACTATTGGCGCTGCTGATCCTGGGTCAGTGGACAGCCGTAATTACAAAGAGTTCGACCTTACTAAGGTTATGGTTGATGAAGATGATGGCGAGCCAGATTTCCAAAGTGATCAGAACAAGCCGTATAGTCTGGGTCCCAAGATTACTGATTGGGATGCGCAGAGAGAGGAGTGGTTGAAATCAAATCCGGATTTCCCCAATTTCTTTGGGCCTAACAAGCCTAGGGTTTTATTAGTCACAGGTTCGTCTCCTAAGCCATGTGAGAACCCCATAGGAGACCACTACCTGTTAAAATCGATTAAGAACAAGATCGATTACTGCCGGGTACACGGGATTGAGATTTTCTACAATATGGCATTGCTGGACCCGGAAATGTCAGGTTTTTGGGCTAAGCTGCCACTCCTGAGGAAGCTTCTGATTTCGCACCCAGAAGTTGAGCTTTTGTGGTGGATGGACAGTGATGCAATGTTTACTGATATGGCGTTTGAGTTGCCCTGGGAGAGGTATAAGGACTCAAATCTCGTGCTGCACGGTTGGGGTCACGAGATCTATGAGAAGAAAAATTGGATTGGGTTGAATACAGGTAGCTTTCTACTGAGAAATACCCAATGGTCATTGGATCTTCTTGATGCTCTGGCTCCAATGGGACCAAAGGGGAAGGTTAGGGACGAAGCGGGGGCATTACTGACCAGGGAGCTCAAGGGCAGGCCTGTTTTTGAAGCAGACGATCAGTCTGCTATGGTGTATCTTCTTGCGACCCAGAAGGACAAGTGGGGTGACAAAGTGTATCTGGAGAACCTATACTTCTTGCACGGCTATTGGGGTATTCTGGTCGATAGGTTTGAGGAAATGATAGATAACTACCACCCGGGTTTTGGCGATCACAGATGGCCATTGGTGACTCACTTTGTGGGTTGCAAGCCATGTTCAAAGATTGGAGATTATAAGGTGGAGAGGTGCTTGAAGCAGATGGACAGAGCATTCAACTTCGGGGACAATCAGATCCTACAGATGTATGGGTTCGCTCATAAGACTCTCGAAAGCCGGAGAGTTAAGAGAATCCGAAATGAGACTAGCACTCCACTTGAAATCAGGGACGAGCTTGGATTGCTCCACTCTTCATTTAGAGCTGTCAAAGTATAGTCTTCTTTAGAAGAGGTAATGCTGTTTCATTGATTGGATTTCATTCGACACATATACACAAGTGAAGTGATCTTTTGTTCTCTCTCTTTTTTTCTTCTCTGTACCATTATTACATTATGCTCTGAACTACGGTTTGCCTATAGAGCTGTGCTTGCTGTATTCATTCATCTTAATGTTTGTGTGTTATACATAAGTCTTGTATTTGTATCATTTTCACCTAGCAGTGGTTAAATTTCTACTGCATGTAGTCCTGCCGTTGCGTTTTTTTAATTCTATTTATTTAAATTTGTTATACTCCGTACGTATTGTAACGCCCAGAAATATCCTAAAAGTTATAATGACTTTCAAATAAAATATTATGCTAAATTTTGTTTAAATAAAATAAAATTTATACGGACAACACTAAAATAAGTTATTTCTAAAAGTTATCCTTTTATGGTCAAATTTATACTCAAATTGAAGGTCTCAACGAAACGAGTTCAACGGTATAATTCGCGTGTCGATCTGATCTACGAAACATAGCGACTTGACTGCTCCAAGATTTAAAAAGATAATAAAGTAGAAATCACCTTATAGGACTTTCAAGGGAAGAAGAATTTAGTGCATAAAATTTTCCCCGCAGCTTAACATAATTGACGGAAGCGATGCATGTCAATCTTGTGTACAAGTTCTTCAAAATTCTTTAGGGGCAACGCTTTTGTAAATAAATCAGCAGGATTCTCACTAGACTTGATTTGCTTGATGTCAACCTTTCCATCTTTCTCGAGATCATGTGTTGAGAAGAACTTCGGTGAACAATGGTCTCCTTTAATGTAGCCCCCTTTATTAACTTGAGCAATGCATGCAGTGTTGTCTTCAAATATAAGAGTCGGATGGCTAGTGATTGTTTCTATACCACACTCGCTCTGGTTATGTTAGATCATTGATTGCAACCATACACATTCTCTACCTGTTTCGTAGAGAGCTATCAACTCTGCGTGATTCGATGATGTGGCAGTCAAAGTTTGCTTCATCGATCTCCATGGTATTGCAGTATCTCCATAAGTAAACACATATCCTGTTTGAAATTTTGCCTTTTGTGGATCAGACAAATATCCTCCATCAGCGTATCCAACAAGAGTGGCCTTGGCACCTTTGCGGTAGAATAGACCAAGGTCGATGGTACCGTGGAGATATTAGAAAATGTGTTTAATGCCATTCCAATACATCCTTGTCGGGGTTAAATTGTGCCTGACTAACAAGTTTACTGAGAATGCAATATATGGTCGAGTGTTATTTGCCATATAGATTTTTTTTACCCCCCCTAACCCTCCCCCTAAACCCCCCACCCCAGCCACACCCTTTCCCCCCCCCACCCCAGCCCCCCCTCCCGATATATAGATTAGGGGTGAGCAAATTAACTAGACCGATCGCGAAACCGAAAACCGAAATAACCGAAAGTTCGGTTTCGATTTCAGTTTCGGTTTTCATGTAAAAGTATTTTCGGTTTTTTGGTCGATTTTTGGTTTTTTGTAACAAAAAACCGAACAAACCAAATAACCGATGATTTTATTTAAATTTATTTTTTATTTTTTAGAATAAGAAAATATTTGATTAACACACATGCTTTCTTCTTACTCTTTCTTGAAAAACTTTAATGTTTCACTTTTAAAAAAAATTATTTGTTAATGTTTTTAATATATTAATAAGAAAAGTGCAATTTTTATATGAAATGGATAGTGTATATTCAAATAAAAATTAATCTACCTTACTAAATTAATGACAATAGAAAAATCTTAATCTAAACTAATTTAATACATATCAATCTACCTCGCTGAATTAGTTTCTTGAATTTATATTAAAAAGTCAAAATAAAAGTAATTAAAATTCAGTTTTTCGGTAGGTTTTTTTGTTGTATGGGCATTTTTCAGTTTTGGTTCGGTCGGTTTTAGTTTATGATTGGTTTAGTTTGGTCGATTATCAACTAAGTTAAAAAAATTGGTTTTTTAGGTTTCAAACCGAAACCGACCAAAACCCACCGTTGCTCAGCCCTAATATAAATCAAAGCTCTAATGGCACTCACGTATGGGGTTTCTAGACCAAGTATTTCTTCATCATCTTCACGAAGTCGAAACAGTTTATCATGTACATTGAAAGAGTGAACAATCATCAGAGATGTGAGAGGATGTGCTTTATCCAAGTAAAACCCATTCAGATGCTTCTTCGTGTAATTTGAGTGGTGGATAAAAATTTCATCCTTCAAATGGTCAATTTGTGAAAGAATTATTTGGGAGGAAATTCTCTGTATTTCTCTCTTGTGAAACTTTTTTCTTGAATACAAAGATTTAACCCTCTTTATATAGAAAGAGGGTAAAGTAAATAAGGAAATTCCTATTCCTACTAAAATAAGAATTTAAACAAACTAGGAAAGATATTAAATACTAAACATAATCCAACTAGGAAAGATACTAAACCTAATCCCAAAGGGATTCGGTTTCCTTCTTCAATCCTGCTTCTTTATTCTGTCTCTCATACTTTCCTTCTTCAATCCCGTTTCCTTCTTCTATCTCTAACAATTTGAAAACCAAGATAAAATTTTGTTTTTCGAAGATCGTTAGCTCAAATTCTTTCATGAGATATTTTTGTATTGTTTTCAATTTCATCAGAAGTTCCAATGATGTTTAAATCATCAACATATACTACAATTATGGCAAAGCCTTATTTAGATCTGTGAATGAAAACACATGGACTAATGGATCATTTTTGTATCCTTCTCTCAGCAGATATTCACTGAGATGATTATACCACATTTTGCCAGATTATTTTAGTCCATATAGTAACTTTTCTAATTCATTGAAAACATCTCTCGAGGTTTTGAACTATAAACCTCTTTAGGCCTCCAGGAACTTTCAGATATATGTCAGTATCGAGAGATCCATACAGATATGATATCACTACATCTATTAAACGCATTTGAACCTTTTCAAAGACAGACATGCCTATCAAAAATCTCAACGTAGTTACAATAACTACTGGGGAATAAGTTTCTTCATAAGCTATCCCTGGGATTTGAGAAAAACCTTGGGCAACAAGTCAAGCTTTATATGTCACAATTTCATTTTTCTCATTGCTTTGCACACAAAAATCCATTTGAAACCAATTGGTTTCACACTTTGTTTTTCAAGTGATTTCAAATCTTCCTAGATTGCTTTGTTCCATTTTGGCCAATCATATCAACGTCGACATTCATCAATTGATGTTGACTCAATATCATCATTTTCATCTATTATGTTTGTTGCAATGACATATGCAAATATATCATGTACATAAACTTCTTTTCTGTTTTATTGCAATCCCGTAGAAACGTAATTAATTGAGATCTCATAATTATCAATGTTTCTATCTTAATCAGAATTATTTGCATCTTGAGAGATTGTTAAATCCTCATTTAGAACAATTTGTTCCTTGATATTATTTTGTATCAACATGCTCATTTTGTTCATTTTCTTTTCCTGAAGAATGAACGTCTTTTGTTTCAAACGTTATCTCTTTCCTTTTAAGTTTTCTTGGTTTTTAATCTTTTAAACCAAGTGGCCTACCACGCTTTTGCGTAGTGAAGACTAATTTGCAAGAGTTCTTTCATTTTTCTCTAAAACATTTTCAATTCTGGCAAGAACATTCACAGCAGGAATATGTGACTTTGTCACTTTCTTTGAGTCCGTGAATGCATCACGAAATGATTTGCAACATTTTGTAAATGGATTATCTTTTGCACTTCTTGCTCGCATGCATTTTTTTGAATCAACAAAAGATAATCCTGTTGCATTCCATGTAATCTCTTTCGTACTTGGGTCCTTTTTCTCATTCTCTCCTCCTAAGGTTGGCAATGCTATCTCATTGAAATGACAGTCAGCGAACCGAGCTGTAAATAAATCACCAGTCATGGTTGAAAATATCTTATAATTGAGATAGAATCAAAGCTAACATAAATTCTAACCCTTTTTTGAGGACCCATATTTGTAGGATGTGCTAGAGCAATTGGTACATATACAGCATACCCAAATACTTTCATGTGAGCAATATTTGCTTCTTTTCGAGTTACCAATTGTAATAGGAAAAAAATATGATTTGCAATATGCCTTAACCGAATTAAATTTAAAACATGCAATATAGAATGTCCCCAAATAGATGTAGGTAACTGGATTTCATCAATAATGGTCTAGCAATTAATTGTAATCGCTTGATTAAAGATTCAGCAAGACCATTTTCAGTATGCACATGAGCAACTTGATGCTCCACATTAATCCCAATAGACATGCAATAGTCATTAAATGATTGGGATATAAATTCTCCTTCATTATCTAGTCAAATTTTCTTTATTCAATAGTCTGGAAATTGGGCCCTCAAACGTTTATTTGAGCAAAGAGTTTTGCAAATGCAAAATGTTTTTGTAGATAAAAGATAACATATGAACAACGTGTTGATGCGTCGATCAACCCCATAAAATAACGAAATGGTCCACATGTTGGGGAAATTAGCCCACAAATATCTTCTTGAATTCTTTCTAAATATGCAGGAGATTTAATATAATGCCCCAAAAATAGACCTATCAAAATTAATTAATTATCGATTATTTTATTACTGAGAAAGACCCAAAAATAAGTGATTTATGAAGTTTTTCAATAAATAATGAAAATTATAATGTTGTGTAGAGTTTAACTGTCTGACTGCAACGATTCAATCGGATTTCAATTTGGAGAAAGTTGACCCAAAAAATGTACCCCGACTGGGACCAAAATTAGTCTCAATCTGGGAACTAATCATCAAACGGCCCCTTGTGCAATCATGTTGATTCCAAAATCGTAGAAGCAACACCTCTTGAGCTCATTCCTTCACCATTTCACCTAATTCTTCTTACTGTGAGTTCTTAAGAGTGTGGGCAGTGTAGAGGTGTTGTCATTTTGGTGTGAAGTCGCCGAGCTGAGGGTAATTGTCACCGGAAGTTTCGCTAGAAAATTTCCAATAATTAGAATGTTCATATAGGTCGTTTCTACGTTCATAAACGGTCGTTTGGTTGAGTTTTTTGTTTGAAATGCTTGAAGAACTAAGAATCATAAACCTTGAAATTGTTGTTAAAAATATGAATTAATGATACCAAAATAATCTATGAACCTTGGAGAATATTTCTATATAGTTTAATTGAAGTTCAGTGACTTAAAATGGTATTTTTGAAATTGGACCCGAAGGTTGAAA